GCGGAATATTCGACGAGAAGGACAAGCTGCTAGAACTGGCCTTCCGCTACGCCGTCGAACGCATCAACAACGACCGGTCGACTCTCACGCATTCGACCCTCGTGGCTCAGCCGGTGTGGCTCCCCGCTGACGACTCCTACAGGGCGGCGAGGGATGGTAAGGAAGGGAGTCAGGGTAAGGGTAGGGGGGTAGGGGTGGGGAGGGGAGGGGGAGTTGGAGGGGGTAAGGGAAGGGTTTGGGGGTTGGGTGAGGGTTGGGGGAGAGTTGGAGGGGGTTGGGGGAAGGGTTTGGGAGTTGGGTGAGGGAGGGGGAAAGGTGTGGGGGTTGGGTGTGGGGATGGGGAAGGGTGTGGGGCTTGGGGTGAGGGTGGGGGAAAGGGTGTGGGAATTGGCTGAGGGTGGGGGAAGGGTGTGGGGGGTGAGGGTGGAGGGGAGTTGGAGGGGGAGGGGAAGGGTGTGGGGGTTGGGTGAGGGTTGGGGGAAAGGGAGTGTGGGTGGGGGCGAGGGGATTGTCGGTTGGGGCAAGGGTGTGGATGAGAGGGATGAGGGTAGGTGAAGGGTGGTATGACGGGGGGGGGGGGGGGGAGTGGGTGAGGAGAGGGGTGAAGGGTGAGGTGGGTGGTTGAGTGACTGGTTGACTGACTGACTTTTGTTTGACTGTTAGTTTGGTTGACTGTTTGGATGGTTGATTTGTACAGAGGCTTTAATGGTTTTCGTAAAGCTGGTGCTACAGAAGACAAATGATCATATTTTGAACTAAGGACGGCAATTAATTCATGGGATGATTACTAATGATGTGATTTTAATTTCATCTTGATACTACATATGCTTTATTTCATATCTGTATCGATTTTAGTTTATGTACATAAAATATGTTCACTCTTTATCATCATGTTCCCTTTATCTTCGTCTTTCCTTTCCCAACACCTTCATCCTTTACACTTCCCTTCCCTTTATCTTCGTACTTCTTTTCCCATCATTTTCTGACTTACACTTCCTCTCCATTCTTCCAAGTCCTTTCCAACCATCTTCACCCTTTACACCCCCCCTCCCCTTCGCTCTCCCTCTCCTGTCCTATTCCCTCTCATCTCCCTTTCCTGTCTCTTTCCATCTCCCTCTCCTCTTCCTCCCCCCTCCCTTTCCCTCTCCCTCTCCTGTCCCTCTCCCTCTTATGTCCCTGTCCCTTTCCCTCTACCTCTCCTCTCCCCTCCCCTCCCCTCCCTCTCCCTCAGCATCCTTCCGCATCCTCTCCTCCTCCGAGGACTCACCCACATCAATCTTCCAGTGTGCAGCATCCTGCGTACCCCCGTGGCCGCCATCTTCGGACCGCAGATGGAGAAGACCGCGAATCACGTCCAGTCCATCTGCGACGCCATGGAAATCCCTCACATCGAGACCCGCTGGGATTACAAGCTCAGGCGGGATGCTTACTCCATCAACTTGTATCCGTATCCTCCTTCGCTGAGTGAGGTAGGTGGTTGGGGAGTGGGGATGGGGTGGTAGGGGAAGGGGAGTGGGGATGGGGTGGTAGGGGAAGGGGAGTTGGGGGGTAGTGGAGTGGGGATAAAAATCTCAATTGCTTGCTTTGGCTTCTATTCAACAGCCAAATTTCCCCCCCTGATTTATCAAATCATACTAAACAATATCCAGTCTATTATAATTTCTTCATTTACCACTCAAATACATATCATTCCTAATATTTATTATTTTTTCCCCTTCTAATGTTTCCCCCATCACCATGCAGGCCTACCGCAAAATCCTCTTGGCTCTGAAATGGAAGGAATTCGTCATTCTTTACGACACGAACGACGCCCTGGTCAGAGTGCAGACGCTGCTGAGGGAGGGCTCGTTTTCAGTCACCGTCCGGCAGTTGGAGGGAGAGGATTTCAGGTGAACTGGCGGCAGAAAGTGGTGTGGAAGCGAGGTGGAGGAAGGGACGGGAGGAAGGGGTTGAGGTGGAAAGGGAAAGAGGGGGGGAATAGATGATGGATGGATGAAGGGAGGGAAAGGGAGAGAGAGAATAAGTGAGTGAGTAAGCGAGGGAGAGGAAGAAGAAGAGGGAAAGGGAAAGGGAGAGGGAGAGAGAGAGAGAGAGAGAGAGAGAGAGAGAATGAGAGAGTTAGAGAGAGAATGAGAGAGAATGAGAGAGTTAGAGAGAGAGAGAGAATGTGAGGGTTAGAGAGAGAGAGAATGAGAGAATTAGAGAGAAAGAGAATGAGAGAATTAGAGAGAGAGAATGAGAGAATTAGAGAGAGAGAGAGAGAGAGAGAGAGAGAGAGAGAGAGAGAGAGAGAGAGAGAGAGAGAGAGAGAGAGAGAGAGAGAGAGAGAGAGAGAGGGTGAGAGAGAGAGAGAGAGAGCGAGAGAGAGAAAGAGCGAGAGAGAGAAAGAGCGAGAGAGAGAAAGAGCGAGAGAGAGAAAGAGCGAGAGAGAGAAAGAGCGAGATAGAGAGAGAGTGAGAGAGAGAGAGAGAGAGAGAGAGAGAGAGAGAGAGAGAGAGAGAGAGAGAGAGAGAGAGTGAGAGAGAGAGAGAGAAAGAGAGAGAGAGAGAGAGAGAGAGAGAGAGAGAGAGAGAGAGACGTAACTAGATATAGAAACGATAATAGTAATTATACTAAAATTATTATGATAAAGATGAAATAATGATGATGAGAGTAATGTCAATGATAATGATAATGCTGATAATGGTAATGAGAACGGCAAGGATGATGATAACAATAAAAAACGATAACAACGAACCAATAACAACAAAAATAACACCAGCAACACATAAAAACAACGACAATGGAAATAAAAGCCAAAACATCAATAACAGTAACAGAAACAAACAAACAGACAAATGTAAACAAGCCCTCTTTTTTCCCTTCTATCTTTTTACACAAACAAACAACCACACAACAGTAACAAAATAAACAAACCTTTTTCCCCTTCTATCTTTTTTAGTCAAACAAACAAACAGAATTTATATAAACAAACCTTTTTTCCCTTTCTTCTTTACTCAAACAAACAAACACTATCTATAAACAAACCCTCTTTTTCCCCTCTATCTTCTTAACTCAAACAAACAAACAAACAAAAAATGTATATAAACAAACCCTCTTTTCCCCCTCTATCTTCTTCACTGACTTCCCTCTCTTACCTCTCCCCCCTCCCCCCCTCTCCTCTATCATCTTCACTGACCTCCCCCCCCCCCCCCCCTCCCCCCCTCTCCTCTATCATCTTCACTGACCTCCTCCCCTTCCCCCCTCCCCCCCTTCCCTCTATCATCTTTACTGACCTCCTCCCCCCTCCCCCCCTCTCCTCTATCATCTTTACTGACCTCCCCCCTCCCCCCTCCCCCCCTCTCCTCTATCATCTTCACTGACCTCCTCCCCCCCCCCTCCCCCCTCCCCCCCCTCTCCTCTATCATCTTCACTGACCTCCTCCTCCCTCCCCCCTCCCCCCTTCTCTCTATCATCGTTACTGACCTCCTCCCACCCTCCCCCCCCCTCCCCCCCTCTCCTCTATCATCGTTACTGACCTCCTCCCCCTCCCCCCTCCCCCCTCTCCTCTATCATCTTTACTGACCTCCTCCCCCCTCCCCCCCTCTCCTCTATCATCTTTACTGACCTCCCCCCTCCCCCCCCTCCCCCCCTTCCTCTATCATCTTCACTGACCTCCTCCCCCCTCCCCCCTCCCCCCCTCTCCTCTTATCATCTTCACTGACCTCCTCCTCCCTCCCCCTCCCCCCTTCTCTCTATCATCGTTACTGACCTCCTCCCACCCTCCCCCCTCCCCCCCTCTCCTCTATCATCTTTACTGACCTCCTCCCCTTCCCCCCCTCCCCCTTCTCCTCTATCATCTTTACTGACCTCCTCCTCCCTCCCCCTCCCCCCCTTCCCTCTATCATCGTTACTGACCTCCTCCCCCCTCCCCCCCTCTCCTCTAACCATCTTTACTGACCTCCTCCCCCCCTCCCCCTCTCCCTCCCCCTCTCCTCTATCATCTTCACTGACTTCCTCCTCCCTCCCCCTCCCCCCCTTACCTCTATCATCGTTACTGACCTCCTCCCTACCCCCTCTCCCCCCCAGGCCGCTGCTGAAGGAGATCCGCCGAGCTCAGCAGAAGCGCATTGTCCTCGACGTGCACAGCAGTCTCATCTACACCGTGTTGAAGCAAGCGGCGCAGATTGGCCTCATGGGAGAGTATTATAATTACTTCATCACTTCTCTTGTGAGTTTTTATTTTTTTTATTTTATTTATTTTTTATTATTATTATTTTTTTTTGTTTTCGAGTGTGTGTGTATGTGTGTGTGTGTGTGTGTGTGTGTGTGTGTGTGTGTGTGTGTGTGTGTGTGTGTGTGTGTGTGTGTGTGTGTGTGTGTGCGTGCATATTTTTGATTTGTAGGAAATAACATAACTTCATCACTTCTTTTTCACATTTTGTTTCATTCTATTCTCTATTCATCCACTCTCTCTCCATCCACTCTCTATTCATCCACTCTCTCTCTCTCTCCATCCACTCACTATTCATCCACTCTCTCTCTCTCTCCATCCACTCACTATTCATCCACTCTCTCTCTCTCTCCGCCCACCGACAGGACTTCAACCAAGTGGATTTAGATGAATTCAAGTACTCGGGCACGAACATCACCGGCATCCAGCTGATTGACCCCAAGAAGCTGCAGCACATTGTGGAGGATTGGAAATTCGGCGAGAGGAGATTTGCGAGAATCCTCACGCCGGATCTGCTGAAGGTCACGGTGAGGAAAAGTGGGGTGGGGGAGGGGGGGGGTTGGGGGTTGGGGGGGTTGGGGATTTGTGTGTGCGTGTGTGTGTGTGTGTCTGTTTTCGTTTTATTAAGGATTTTGTTATTATTTTTGGTGATTTTGGGATTTGCGTGTTTTTTTTTTGTTGTTTTTTAAGATTTATTATTTTATTTTTTTTTTTTATTTTTTTTTTTTGAATGGGGGGTGGTCAAAAATTTTTTTTTTCTTTTTTTCATTCTTTTTTTTGGGGGGGG